TGGTGGGGGGGTGGAGAAATCCTATTCATGAAAGAAGCTGGGTAGCTCCAGTTAAAACCAGCAGGAGTTTCACAGCTAAATCCCTGTGCACTGCTTTGAAGAATTAGGTTGCAGCTATCCATGTTTGATTAAACTTATTTTACTTGTTAATTCTAAGTTTGAGATAATGACACGTTTTTAATTTCTTCTAGATCTATCCAGAAGTCTGTGTCTGAAAATGAAGCATTTGGTTAGTAACCCTTTAAATCATTTATGATCCAAGTTAATTGTAAACAGTCAAATATACTTAAGGCTTTAATTTGCTTTCAGGCTGTTGGATTCCACACAGAGAAAAAAAACACGTGTCACCATTTCCCCTCCATAAGCCCTCTTAAAAAAATTCAGATTGAAACAGAAACCAAATTAAGAATCTGGCCGAAATGAAATGGTCATGCAGAATGTTTGGTGTTTGTTTTATCCATTTAAACAAAGAACCCAAGCCCCTGTGATCTAATCAGATTAGTCTCCTCTCTGTTTCATTTGTTAAAAAGATTCAGTTTTCACTTGGCTGCTGACAGTCATGAGTGCAGTTAACTAATGAAGGAATTTATTTTTTGTAAAATTTCAGGAGTTATTGCATGGTGTTTTTAAAGAATATTATGACCTACGTATTCAGTTCTGGCCCCCGCCCAGTTATGTATCTGAGGAAGAGCGGGTGGGGTGACATCCCCCTGTGATGGTTTGCCGTGGGAGGCAGAGCTCTGTGCTTGAGAGGAGGGTGAATAGAGCACCAGAAATAGGCCCTGGGGAGCCCACACCACTGCCTACCCCACAGCAGTAGCAGCTCAAGCCTGCACTGCCCCAGCAGCAGCCATAGTAGTAGCAGGTGCTGCCCCAGTGGTGAAAGCTAGAGCAGGTACGACTCCTCTTCCCCTACCCCCACCCCTGCCTCCAGTGGTCAGCCTAATTCTCCTTGCCCCCACCTCTGCCCCAGTCACTGAAAGACCTTGCTACACCTCTTCAAATAGTTAATTTGCCCAGAAAGTGGCTTCATTATGGAAGTTCTCTGACAGTGACAGGGTAAGGGCCATAATTTCATAATAAGTCAGTGGTCATCAAGGGACATCAAGGCTTTCATGATGCTACCCAGCATAAAGGTCACCATGGAGAAAGATCTCACTCCTAAAGCACTAGCCCCTTTCATGCTTTAATTTAAGCACTATTGATGTTTAAGCAGTTTAGTGCCTTGTGCCATCAACTAGGGGCTAGAGGTGCTCATACTGACTAAGTAGTTCTTTAAAATTCTAAGTAGCATTTGTATAAAATCCTAACAGCAAGATCAAAAATAGATTGAAAAGCCACAGAATGAGGAAAGCTTGAAACCAGAGGTGATGGCTGTAGTAATAGTAGTAGTAATAATGTTTAAACTGTGCTAAATGGGACTGCAGGCAATGCCAACAGATGATGGAACTCGTAGTCTGCCACACTGAATTCCATTCATCCATCACATTTCCACTTTGGCAAAATCATTTATTCGTGTTTGTGTTTAAGCAGATGCTACAGTGTTCTGTTGCACTCATTTGATTTGCATCCTGATTTTATTTTATAGACTCTCCCATTATTTTACGGGGGTAATATGAATGCAGGTGACTCTTTTCTGTGCTTTTATTTTAGAGAGGAAAACTGTGAATGGCACTCTTTGGCAGAATTCCAAGAAGCCCGAGAATGATTCGTACATCAGAAGGCACTGTCAGCTTGAAGGTAATTGCAAAATGTATTTCAGCTGATTTTGCATTTTCCACAAAGTATTTTAAAGGGCACCTAGGAAAATTTCTCATTTTTCACCAATAATCTAGCTAAATAATTTGTCAAGGCCTTTTGAGATTTACCTTCTCCCCAAGGGGAAGAAAAAAGTAGTTTAAATAAGCTTGCTTTAAAACAAGGAAGCTAAGAATGCACCCTGGGGCAAGTTCACCCTGCAGTCTATGGGCCATTGGAGGTTTCTGCTGCAGAGTGGCTTCCACTGTGTTGCACTGGGGCAGGCAGCAGTGATACAAGCATTAGTTGGAGCTCTATGGTTCTTGAATTACAACAGAGCTGGGCTCTACATGCACCTGAGAAGTCATTTTAGGGAGACCCAGCAGCAACAAAACTCACAAAGAGAGGAAAGGATGCACAATATGTCTCTACTTTAGGTCAAAGGTTTGCAGGAAGAAACACTGAAGAGTCACAAGGCTGTCCTTTCACTGCCTTGTGCCTATGGCTGGTGTTTACTGCCTACAGGTCTGGCAGAAATCCCTTTCATAGAATCTACTTAGTTTGTGTGGGGCTGGGATGAGGCAAATTCAGTAATGTAGTACAGGGGTGTGTGACGGGGGCACCAGCCCCAGGCACTGACTTGGGGGTGGATGCAGAAAGAGCAGCGCCCCACGCTGCTGGCTGAGCCACTGCCACTGCTGGCAGCCTGGCTGCAGTTGCTGCCCCCATGCACCGCTGTTACCGCGGGCACAGAACCACCCAGCTGCATCTCTGCCCAACATCTTCTTTGCAAAAAAGATGAGGCCAAATGATTAACTGGTTGTGGTAGAAGGAAAATCTTTAGGCTTTAAATGAAAACCTATTCCATCCTTTTCTACATTTCTACTAGCTGTTCTAAGCACTTGTAATCTAAAGCAGAAGCTACAGAGGCCCTTACCCCTTATTCAGGCAAAATTTTGATTAACTTTGGTCGGAGCTTTGCCTGAGTAAGGGAATATAGGACAAGAAGCTTATGTCATATTTCCTGACCAA